CGCACTCCACTTTTGTACTTTGCAATTATCTCTTTCTTCATTTCAATAGTCATTAGCACCTTTTTTCTCGAAGGGTTGGCACTAGAAGCTTTCTTGGGGCCCATGGTGACTTGTTTTGCAGAAACAAGCCCCAAAAACAGTGATAATATGGAATGTACCGAATGTATCCTTAGATGCGCACACACTGCCTGGCTTGTAAACACTGGCACACACGGGGCGGTTCAGGCCACACATGGACACGTCTCGTACGAATCACATCGAATAGCAGGTTTTCGATTGAATGTCGAGGCGAAATTTTTGCATTAAAATGCATCGAATGTCAGATTTATCGAATGTCGATGCCATCAAATGTCAGGGGTCCACTGTACATTGCTCATATTAACCAGGTTTTTCAGTGAGACATACAAAACAATATGATATTCAAAGTGGACAAATTTCAGTTGCTCTGCTAATGAAAAACTGAAAGAATTGAAACTGGAAAGAAATTTAACCCTTTGACTGTCGCAAACACCTTTCTGAAACTGTCATTCTATGTCGCAAAATTTTTGGGAAAAAAAAATTATTTTGTCTTATGAAATGATAGAGAATCTTTTCCTGATGGTAATGACACCAAAAGTACAAAATTTGGTCGAAAACTCACGGAATTATGCTCCCATGAAGTTAGCGGTCTTGGCGACACACATGCATCGGCGATTTCGCTGCTTTCAGCCCTGTTTTTGGCCAATTTTATTGTTCCAGTTGACCAAACTCATAGCTATTTCTCTAAACTCCATTTTTTCTATCAATTGAGTACAAGAAACAGCCCATTTACCAATTTGAATTACCCAATAAAGTGGTCAGAAATTGGCAATTTGGCCAATTTCATGAAAATTAAAAAACATGCCCATTTCAAAATAGGGTCCAAAATAAACAATGTAGACATTCTTGGCACTAAAATAACATATCCTCTGTTCATCAGTCATGTCTCTAGGCCCATCTTATATTATTATTGCTTTCTATTTTGATTTTTTATTCATTCAAAAAAATACAAAATTTACTGTTATGCAGACTACTGCATTATTGTAAGAATGATATAAATAATATCAGTTCACTAGTGAAAGAATATCAGACTCCCCAGTTGATGTGTACTGGACGTGTGGTGTGATTTGATTACTCCTGAACACTGGTAAAAATCGAACATTTCTGTTACTTTGAGCTCAATTTCAAGGTCGTTTTCATTGTGAAACTAATCAAAACCATCTCTATTTCTGCAATATGTTTTCCATTTTATCACATGAGACCATGAAAACGAGAATACAATGATAAATACTATACAAAAATACACCTCAAAGTCGGCATTTTAATCCAAAAAAACGGTCAGTTTTTTCTCATTATGCACTGCGTGCTGCAGGATTTTTTTTTGTGGTGCACAATGACCCATTCTCTCACATGTGGGCCTACTAGCTTTCTCCTGCTTGATTTGAAGCCGCTAGAATTGAGTATATATACGTCTGAAACACTGGCTCGTAAGACGTATATACACGGCCAAAACAGTCAAAGGGTTAAAATAAACTAAAAACCACCCAGTAGATTAATAAAGAAAATGAGGGATGTAGGAGTAATAATGTTAAATCTAATGTTCAAAGATCACATTTGTGTTGCTATCACAAAATGCAAAGAAATTGATAGGTTAGATAACCAGAACCTTCAAAACAGAGATCCTAGGCCAATGATGATAATCTAAGTCAATTGTCTTCCCTATACTAGAATACTGTTCCATATTAACACTCTCTATTAAGGTATGCAAAACTGCAGAGCTGGAGAATGTAAACTGCCCATAAATTCAGTCAAGCACCTAAATTACTGGGAATGCCTTCAGGCCTTAAACTGTACTTCATGGAATGTAGGCAGGAAAGATGCATCATAATTTACACCTGCAAAATTCTGGAGGAACTGGTCCCAAATCTGCACACCAAAATTACTTGCAAGAGTGCAAGAGGCTCAGCAGACAGTGCAAAAATACCTCCAATAACAAACAGTAGTGTAATGAGTACATTAAGAGATAATGCAGTTAGTGTAAAAAGACCAAGACTTTTCAATACTGTTCATACATGAGGGAAGTTACCAACAGATCCCTAACTGCCTTCAAGTTAGTTCTCCAACAGCTGTAGAGCTGTTGGAGAACTAAAGTGTAACATTAACAGTGTAGCAAGTAAGTTAAGCGATTAATCAACAGAAAAAGGACAGCACGAAACTGATTCCTCCATTGTTGTTGGAGGTATATAGAGCTACTGACTAACACTGCTGCCTTCACCACCACTATGTAAGGCTTATCTTTCAGTGGCCCTTATACAGTGGTCCCTCGCTTTTCGTAGTTCTCGGCAATCGTAAATTTCGCCAATCATAGGAGTATTTTCGTATAAACATGGACTCGCTTTTCATAGGTTGACTCGCCAATAGTAGTTCGTCCAGGACACTTACGCAAGGTGTGAGCGGGGAGGCCTCCCTACCCAGCCAGTCTGGCATTGTTTACCAGTGAGTGAAGGTCCCCTCAAGTGCTCCTACAAAATATTTCATAATATTCCACTCATTTTAGTGCTTCCAAGTACTAAATAAGCTACCACGGCTCCAAAGAAAGCTCCTAGTGCCAAGCCTGTGGTAAAGAAGGTGAGAAATATGTACAGTGACAAAGTCTTGTACCATTTTAGGGAAGTGTTAAAGAGACGCCAGAAACAGAGCTCTCTCCACAGTTACTTTGCGAGACAGACTAGAGTGACTCTCAAGGTGGTCCTAGTGGCATTAAGAAACAGAGAAGAGAAGCAACCCCAGAGAAGCAATTGGTACCTGAGGTGTTGCTGGAAGGGGATTCCCCTTCCAAACTGTAAACAATCCAATCTCTCTCCTCCTGCAGTCTCCCATACACTAAGAAGAATCTCCAATAAAGGTAAGTGTTATGCTGTTAATGTTTCATTCATCATTTCCCATTGTATTGTTTAGGTTAGGTTAGGTAAGGTTCTTCAGGAAACAGGACAAATGTTTCCTGACGCGGGTCTTAGTCAGATGATGACCCGCCTTTGGAGCTTTTGGTCATCTGACCGAGGCCTTCCGCTGGCTTACCGGTCCACCCCTTTAAAAATTATGGTCATGTATAACCATTGTTGTATTGTTTATGTACTACATGTATATTTCATTTAAAAAAATTTTTTGTTTTAATACTTCTGAGTGTCAGAAATGGATTAATTGTATTTACATTATTTCTTATGGGGAAAATTGATTCGCAAATCGTAAATTTCGTTTATAGTAGCTCCTCCAGGAACGGATTAATTACGAAAAACGAGGGACCACTGTACATCCAACAACAAACAACACACCACCATTCGTGACATTCTTGATGCCATATTTTATTCATTCTAGAGTATATATCACATTTCTATGCTATTAATATTGTTTATTATGTCACATAGATGAATTGTGCAAGATAAATAAGCAATAGATCTGATAGTGGTGTCACATTGAAGGACTATCTTGTCCTGTCTCCAAACACAATTTCTAACATACGCCAGAAACAGACCTCTGTGGAACACTTTTTTGAGCGACATAGGTCCAGTGACTCTCAAGATGGTCCTAGTGGGATTAGAAAAAGAAGGAGGGAAGTAACCCAGGATAAGGACTTGGTACCTGAAGTCTTTATGGAGGGGGATTTCCCTTCCAAATAATTGTAAATTCCTCCATCCTCTCTCCTCCTCCTGTCTTCCATACATCACCATGTCTTCAATAAAGGTAAGTGTGATGTTGTTATTGTTTTATTCTTCATGTATCTGTTTTCTGTGTAGGTAAATGTACATTTCATGTAGAAAACATTTTTTGTTAATACTTTTGGGTGTCTGAAATGGATTAATTGGATTTCCATTATTTCTTATGGGGAAAAATTAATTTGGAATTCATCAGATTCGGGTTTAGTCACTCTCTCTGGACAGGATTAATTACGAAAACGAGGGGGCACTGTAATTGGATTTACATTATTTCTTATGGGGAAAATAGTTTCAGTTTTAGTCGATTTCACATTTCGTTGGAGACTCTGGAATGAATTAAAGACGAAAAGGGAGGGTTCACCGTAATTTGAAATTTCAGAAGCAGCAAATCTCCAAGAAGCAAAGCACCATAAAATGCCCCCCCCCCCCCCGTATCAGTTTTTTTTTAACAAGCTGGCCTTCTCCCACAGAGGCAGGGTGACCCAGAAAGAAAGAAAATCCCCCCAAAAGAAAATACTTTCAACATCATTCAACACTTTCACCTCACTCACACATAATCACTGTTTTTGCAGAGGTGCTCAGAACACAACAGTTTAGAAGCATATACGTATAAAGATACACAGCATATCCCTCCAAACTGCTAATATCCCAAAACTCCTCCTTTAGAGTGCAGGCATTGTACTTCCCATTTCTAGGACTCAAGTCCGGCTATATAAAAATAACCGGATTCCCTGAATCCCTTCACTAAATATTACCCTGCTCACACTCCAACAGATCGTCAGGATATGATAATGATAATTAGGATTAGTACTTTGTCTTGAGGAATAGAGCTTTTCTATGGCAGCCTTTGGTTTTATCTTGTTGATTATTTCTGAGTCTGATTTGTTAAAAAGTTAAAAAAGAAATAAAAATACACCCACTTTGTTATTCCTATTGTATGCATTTTGCACACTATTACAGCATTATCATACCTAATCTACAATATGGAGATGAAACTCTGGCCCATAGTGGACCATTATCAAGTCTTGGTAATGATCTAGGACAGATTTAAACATCTAAAGCTTCATTTCAAAACTGAGGATAAGTTTTCAACTGTGAAGCCGTCTAATGTTACAGTGAAGTGGGGTACGCAAACTTAATAACTAACAGCTTATTTTATGCTACCCAAGATTTATGATCTAGACATTACAAAATATTGGGGGTACAAGGTAAGCAAATTATTTAATGCCAATTATATCTTTAATTAACAAAAATTTTCTGAGTACTAACCTTCATCCTCCTCCTCCTCTTCCAAGTGATCATGATCACCCAGATCATCGCCATTCATCACAAACTCTTTCTTCAGTGAATTTTTACTATCTTTATTGCGTTTGCCACGAGTCCTCCGCGACTGAGTACGACTAAAAATTTCATCATCTGTATCTGTGTCTGCTTCAACTGCTGCCACTTCATCTTGCCTTCTATGTGCAGGCCGGCCCCGGGAGTTATCTACGGAAAAGGACAAAAATATACCACAATGATACACGTTATTACATTACACTTGGCATTGAAAACGCTCAAAAAAAAAAATCACAGAACGACATTATTATATATTCATGGAAGTGCTAAACCATTAGGGACTGTACAGCACCTGGGGAATGGGAGTAATGAGGTTTGATCTAAAGGAGAGGGAAAGCTAAAATTACCTAGATCAAGAGCTTCACCAGCATCAAGGCCCTCCCTCCCTCCCTCCCATGAAGGGCAAGATTGTAACAAACGAATTATGGTAACTCCATATTTTCTGTTAGTCTTATATTTTATCTTTAGCTTGCCTGAAATGTTCTGCATAACCAGGGCTTTCTATATGCATTATTAAATACTACCCTACTTTTTAAAAACCATGCACCTTGGGGATATATATTACAGGTCAGCCATCACTAACCCAGCATCACTGGGACCTGTAGCATGCCGGATTAGTGAGTCTGCCAGAATACAGTGTGGTTAGGTTAGAATACACTTAATTAACCTATCAGTAGATACTCTTTCTGCTGCATCTTCCTCATTTTTATCACAGCTTTCTCCTCCACTGGCTTACTGCTGTGGATTTACAACCATCTGCACAATTTCTGAGTCAGTATAATGATGAAATTTGGAATTATGCTAGCCGAAATTAGTGCCGGATTACCGATGGAACCGGATAACCGACTACCGGATTAGTGATGGACGACCTGTACTATTAATTGTTACTGTTACTTTTATTATTATAATGGGTCCAAGTTATTTCAATGCCCCTTCAAATAAGGGAAATTACCAACTGTCCCCCATCTTCAATAGAGAAACTGCATACTGTTAACTTGTACTGCCATGTCAGACTGTGTGCCACTAGCAAAAACAGTCTGACCAACTATACCATTAACCACATCTGGTCAAGTGATGTGAAAGATCCTCCAAACCATCACCAGGTAATTGAGAAAGTGGTGATTAAGGAAGGGGGATGGGGTTAGGGGGGATGGGGTTAAAGAGGTTGTGTGTGATGTAAGTAATTGTTGAACTAGTCAATTATTCCTCACTCCACATTTAAAGGAGTTCCCCATTCACAATAAAACAGAAGTTTTTTAAAACTAAAACAATTAAAAACCACTCACACATGGAGACTGGCTGCTACATAGCACAATCAAAGACATCTATTGTTTTCACAGAAGGACACAGTTGAGTGCACAAATGAAAATATCAGCCACCTCAAGCAAGGTACAGATACAGCTGACCCTTCAACCTTGCACACTTCAAAGTTTTTTCCTCCAGGGAAAATTATCATCACTAATTGCACACATGCAATATACGGTATATTTGCCATAAATGATCAGTGCAGTTAGTTTGCAAAGTGTGTTGAAAATTCTTGTTTGCAGGATTTTCACAAGAAATCGAGCCACATTTTGGAAGGTGAAGATATGCCACGTTGGCCCAAAGTCTTGTGACGATTCTAATGATGACTGGCATACTAATTCAATGTCCCAAGGTCTAACATGCTGAAAGTAATCATTCTTGCTTTGAATGTTTATAGCCTGGAACAGATTTACAGCATAAAACAAGGGGCACCCTTATCTACTGCATTACATGATTATGATTGCAGTAATGATGAAGAAAATGAAGATGAATATGACTATCCACTAGAAGATGCCATTTAAGTGATAGTGTTGAAGATATTCTTGGAAATGTTAGCATGTGTGTCACAGCAAGCAGCAAACATTTTTGCCCTACCAAAATTATGAGATCTATGAGAAAATAACAATAACTTTCTGCTTATCTGATGGCTCAATTAGACCCAGATAATAGTGAATGATTTACAAATATTGGGTATCTCCAACTACACCAACAGGTGCTAACCATAGACTAGACTAGGACAATAGGTGACCCAGCCTTCTTGGTCAGTTCTACATCTCATACAGACACAGATTTACAAGAATTAATAACACACAACCCACAGCCAATATTCTGTAAAAGCAATATTACTTGGCAGTCTCGTGCATGCCAGCACAACACATAATACCAACACCACCACATGCCATGATAAGAGAAATGAGATAGATAGGTAGTTATGTGATTTACAGAGTATTAACCTACAAGATCTCTTAGAACTTGGCAAGAAAAGATAAATACAAATGAACACTCAAGGTAAAACTATCGAACAAAAATAGGAAGCACTTGCATAATAGTACAAAATGAATAAAGAACATAAAAACAAAAATCCAGGTGTTCTTCACCTAGCGCATTACTATATAAGCATTCCAGACCCATGGCAGCTGTAGTAAAATACTAAACTCAATCAGACCATCAACACTTACACGCACAATAAGAATTTGCAAATCACACATTGCATGTGTAGAATGCATATCAGCTATAAGGAATTAACAACAGAAATGGGGCATCACATGAAAGCAACTTTGCCTAAAAAGAACCTGCTTAAAGCAAGCAGAACACACACACACTAATCCTGGAACCAATTCCAGTGATGGATTACACTAAGAATAACTATACCTGACAAATCAGGCAAGCAAATTTCAACTATAAATGCATTAGAAAATATTTATAGTTGTACAGTATAAGAGACTGCTTCCACCTCTTGGATGTAGAAAGCTAAATGTATTCTAAATGTATCTAGTAAATACAACCAATAAATAGTAGGCTCTATTACTGTTAATCATAAAGGTGACAAACCCATATAAAACCACAACAGCTGTCATTAGAAATACTAGAAAGATACTAGAAGTCCTGACCCTCCACAACCAGTGGGTGCCATAGTGACTCAAGTGACAATTATCTGACATGAGGTTTGACTCTCTCCATGGCCTCTTCCTGCCACAGAAAAAAGGCAAATTCCCACTGAAGTGTTATTTGTGTAGTCACACAAGAATGCCCAAAGCATTCTTGTGTCTTTGGGCACTCATGATGCACACCAGCATCCTGAGTGCCCAAAGACTCATGCTGGTGTGAGAGTGTGCCACTCAGCATTCTTACCAATAAAGAAGTATTGATAAATAACCAGAAAACAAATAAAACACACACACGCATCCCAGAGGGGACACAATAATATACAAAATATGTCGAGGAATTATTAAAGTAGACGGAGACAGGCAGTTTGAGAAATGAAAAATGGGAACTCAGGGATACCATTGCCAGATAAAGGGAGAGGTGAGCCACAGGGATATTAAGTATTTCTTTAGTCTTGAGTGTGGTTGGGAAGTGCATTGATCTTGGTGAAGAAGTGAAGGCAGGTTCCATACACGGTCTTACAAACAGGTAAGAAGGGGCCCATAAGGCTTACAGGGAATGAATCTAAAGCATTGGGTCAGGATCTGAGAATCGACCTCTGCAACCATAAATAGGTGAATACAAATAGGCGAGTGAGCACACGTGAGTGCGCACGTGTGCACTGCAAACCTCACTCAAGGAGAAAGATCTTGGGGTGAGTATAACACCAAGCATGTCTCTGGAAGCACACATCAACCAGCTAACTGCTGCAGACAAAGACAGAATGTTCCAGGGAGGGGACACAGAAACAAGAGGTCACAATTGGAAGTTGAAGACTCAGATGAGTCGAAGGGATGTTAGGAAGTATTTCTTCAGTCACAGAGTTGTCAGGCAGTGGAATAGCATAGAAAGTGACGTAGTGGAGGCGGGAACCATACATAGTTTTAAGACGAGGTTTGATAAAGCTCATGGAGCAGGGAGAGAGAGGACCCAGAAGCAACTAGTGAAGAGGTGGGGCCAGGAGCTAAGACTCGACCCCTGCAACCACAAATAGGTGAGTACACACACATACACACAAAGACAGGATGTTCCAGAGATAGGACACAGCAACAAGGGGACACAGTTGGAAGTTGAAGACACAAATGAATCACAGGGATGTTAGGAAGTATTTCTTCAGCCACAGAGTAGTCAGGAAGTGGAATAGTTTGGGAAGCGATGTAGTGGAGGCAGGCTCCATACATAGCTTTAAGCAGAGGTACGATAAAGCTCACAGTTCAGGGAGAGTGACCTAGCAGTGACCAGTGAAGAGGCGGGGTCAGGAGCTAGGACTCAACCATGCAACCTCAACTAGATGAGCACGCGCGTGCACGCACACACACACACACACACACACACACACACACACACACACACACACACACACACACACACACACACACACACACACACCGTGTGCAAACAGGGACACTTCTGAGTCTATCCCTTCCATCATGTTATTCACATATAACAAAAATAGCACTGGTTCTAGGACCGACCCCTGTGGGACCCCGCTCATCACAGGTGCCCATTGTGATACCTCATCACGTACCATGACTCGTTGTTGCCTCCCTGTCAGGTATTCTCTGACACACAAACTAAATAGCCTCTGTGGCCAAGACTTGCCTGGCAAATCTGAGTGACCCTCAGGAATCTCGAGAGTGCTTTATACAACACATGTCAGGCCCATTCTGGAGTATGCAGCACCAGTATGAAACCCACACCTAAGGAAACATGTCAAGAAATTGGAGAAAGTGCAGAGGTATGCAACAAGACTAGTTCCACAGCTAAGACAGACGAGTCACAGGAATGTCAGGAAGTGGAATGACCTCAATGAAGAGGTGATGAAGGCAGACTACATACGTATTCTATGAGTAGGTTTGCTAGGGCTCATAAGGCTAGGAGGGAGTGAATCTGAAGAGTGGCAAGTTAAGAGGCAAAGCCAGGATCTGAGAATCAACCCCTGCAACCATAAATAGGCAAGTACAAATAGGAGAATCCACACATACACAAAATATAAGCAGAAATCAAATTAACTAAATAAAAGCTATGAACATATATAAAATGTTCCACACATATATATACTATCAGTGGGAGACGGCCGACTTGTTGAAAAAAAAAAAAAAAAAAATAACTAGCCTCGATTAAAAAAAAAAAACATTAAATTTTTAATGTCAAAAGACACTCTTAAAATTCCCTGAGATTATTACAGGCACCCCTGTGCT